TTGGCACCCGGCCAACAGCTTTTTAAACGGCCACCCGGGCCAACAACTTTTCAAACGGCCACCCGGGCCAACAACTTTCCAAACGGCCACCCGGGCCTAGCTGATCCCGTCAGCTGCTGATTTTTCAAACATCGAACCCATTTTCACAACAGCAATTTCACAAGCAGTAGTCAAACAAAACTACGCTAGGAATCACCTCACATCCGCCCATGACCGTGGGCACGGCTGTTCGAACAGTTTGTTAACCTCTGCAGAGGGGTACACTTTACCCACATGACATTACTGACCCGGATCACCCAGCCCATGGGGATCAGCCACGTCGGGGGACCTCCAAGCTTTCATGACAAGGCATTTCGAAAGCCGACACAGGTTTACCATATGCCGACGAGAGGGGTCCCAGACCAACAACAGGTTAGGTCCCAGACCATACTGTGCCAGGAAGCCCAGGGGTCCTCCCCGACACCACCCCGGCGAATCCACATGTCTCACGGCATCAAGGCTCCCCTGATAAGCTAGTTACTCAGCCAGGGGTGTCCCATTCCACCCATGTGGTCGTACTCGTCTTATGTTTGGATGAAATTCCAAGGAATCGGTCCTTAAGTGCGAGAGCGGGAAACCATACACCCGGTACGTTCCCCGGTCCGCGGTTTTGGAAATTCAATTAGTTCGCAAGCACCGACCCAGGTGTCGGGTTTTCCAAGTCTTTTGTAAAACTCCAGTTTTACCCAAGTTGTTACTCAGATTTTAAGTTTGAAGGCGACCGTCGATACTCACACAGAGTGCACGAATATCGAGGTGCAACTGGGTGGTTACAAGGGGACATAGTATGGCAATTAACAATGGAAGGATCAAATGCAACAAGTTAGGTAAGTCCGCCAATCTGTCTTGCAGATGGGACAAAAGATTTAGTGCGATCCTATCAATGCATAATATTTTGCAGGCAATATAATTAAATTTCAAATATTGGCTCAAGATGTTCAAAGGTGGCTTGCCTTGCTCGAGATCTGGAGCTTGATCCTCGAAATCCTCGCACTGCGGGTCTTCGGGCTCCGAAACTACACGCGAAACGGGACAACTCAACAAACGGCAAAAATAAAGCCCTATTAATGACCTCTAAGCGTGCCATTAGATAGATCTCGAGATTTGGGGAATTTTGGAAGTTGAACGGAGTCAAACGGAATTACGGTTGGGAAGATATGGAATTTCTAAGATTATTGGATTTTTGGTCTAAAGGAAAAGGATTTAATCCTTTTTGAAAAAGAAAAGAAAAGAAAGAACAGAGGGATGGAAATTAGACTTTTCCTTGGGCGGCTAAGGCGCTGCCCAAGGGAATTGGAGCGGCTCGGCCGAGCTTAACGGGCCGGCCGGCCCAAGACGGCCCAAGCGCGCGCGCGCGGGAGGGAGGAGAGAGAGTCCGGTGGACCGGGCTCACCACGCGCGGTCCCGGGTGGGACCCGCTTGTCAGCGGCTCGGCTCACCGTGCGGAGGGAGTACGTGGCTCATGCGCGCGGGCGGGGGAAGGACGCGGTGCACGCGCGCGGTCCGTGGTGGACGCAGGTGCGGCGGGCCCACGCGCAGCCTCACGGCTCGCGGTGGAACACGCGCACGGGGAGGGACTGACCGGGGTCGGCTCGACCCGGTCTAGGCTGAGCTGGCGCCGACGTGGCGCCTACGTGGCGGCCACGTGGGCTGGCGGGAGGTAGACGATGACCCGGCCGCGAATGGACGGCGGGCGGCGGCGGCGAGCGGCGGAGCGAACCACGGTGATACGGGCAACAGTGAGCACACCGGGCGGTTGCACGTGACAAGGGGAGGCGAGCCAACGGCTCGGATTCGCTGGAGGTTGCTCGACGGCGGCGGATTGCGGCGGCGGCAACCGGTGGCGGGAGAAGAGGGAAACGGCGACGAGGTCACGAGAGGTCGATTCCCGGCGGTGAGAGCATCTACGCGGCTTCGGGAACTCGACGCTAGCGTCGGATTAGGCGGAACTACGCCGAGCGAGGCCGGCGACGAGCGGGTGCTACGGAGCTCGGGCGGCGACGGCGGCGAGCACACGGCGAGCGACGGCAACGGTCGGGGCGGCGCCGGCTAACTACGGGGAGGCTACTCAAGCTACTACCGAAAGCTAGGGGGAGGAGATGGAGCGAGGAGGAAGAACGGAGAGAGGCACTACCGTGCGGAGGAGGGGCGCTGTGACGAGAGGCCGACGGCGCGGGAGTGATCTCTCCGGCCTCGGGCCGGGGAAGAGGAAGAAGAGGGCGCGGCCGAAGTCCCCTTCCGCGTCCTCAAACGCACCGGCTCTCCCGGCGCTCGGCGAAGGACGGCGGAGGCGAGACAGAGCACGGGGGCGGCGGTAACGGTGAGGAGGCGAATGGGAGAGGGAAGGAAGGGAGGGGGAAGACGGGTTTAAATGGGCGGCAATGTCGGTTTGGGAGAGAGGAACCGACATGGGCGGTCAAACCGGCGAGCTGGCGCTCCGGCTAGCGTCCAAAGCGGCGACAGGAGGTGACGCCGGCGAGAGGGGAAAAAGGGAGGAAAGGGGAAAAGGAGGGAGAGAAAGGGGGCTCGCCCCTTTGCCGAATCGGGAAAAGAAGAAGGGAGCGGGGCGACGCGGCAGAGGGAAAGGAGAGCTCGGCCTCCGTCTCTTGGCGGCTTGCGCGCGGAGTGGCGGGGGCCGGGCGATGATGACGGCGATGACGGTGGGATGGTTTGGAGCGGCGCGACGACACGGGCGACAGGCGCGGGCTGGCGCGGCAGAGGGTGACGGCGGCGGCGACCAGGCGGTCGGCCACTCGGCACGCGCGCGCGGGAAACAACGGGCGGCGTCCGCGCGGGCGCGCTCACGCGAACACGGCGCGCGGGGCCGGCTTTGCGAGCGGGGAGCTCGCGCGAGAGGAGGGGGGCGCTCGGCGCGGGCGACTCCCGCGCACGCGCGCGCGGCGCGCGGGCGGAGCGGAGGGGAGCGGAGAGAGAGGCGCTCGGCGCGGCTCTCGCACGCGCGAGCAGCGAGCGGGGGGGGGGGAGCGCGCCGGGGGGAAAGAGAGAGAGAGAGAGAGAGCGCCTGGGAGAGAGGGCCGGGGGAGAGAGAGATGGGCCGAGCGAGATTCGGCCCATCGACCTCGGGGGAGGCAAAATAGACTTTTACGGAGGAATTTGATTGGAAGGATTTGGACTCGGAATTGAACTCGACGATAGATCGGGGATTGAGATCTTGAGATGGCACGGACACTAGACAACAAGCAAAGAAACAAATTTCGCAATTAGGATTTTTAAGAGATAATTTTCCCGCTAGGCGCCACGACGGAACGGGCGCTACATAAATCCAGCCATATTTTATTTATGAAATTTTATTTCTCATATTTACCTCACCGTAAAATTAATTGAACTCTAGTATAAATTATAGAAATAATTTATTAAATGATTTATAAATCCATTAAACAAAAATCAGGATGGACAATCCATCCCATTCTCAATTTGGATTAGGACCATACATACGTATGTCCTAATCATGCATCATTCACATTTATGTTGTCGCTGCACATCAAAATAGAGATCAATGGGATCAATTCAATGAAAATGACTTTGTCGACGGTGGATACCTATAGACCGGATATAGAGGGTATTGGAGTACGCTGGTACGAGGATCTACGTAGTACGACATCAAACAAGCAGAAGACAAACATTATACTGGTTCAGGCCACTTGATAGGTAATAGCCCTAATCCAGTTGATATGGGATTATATGATGGAAACCACGGATTACAAAGGGAATAGCGGAACTCGATGATACCGACGAGACCGTAGTCGAGTTGGTTCGGCTAGATCACCCGGCGACTTGGCTCCTGTAGGCTCCGACTTCGTAGGCTGAGGTGGATGGGTTGGTGGTGAGATTCGATGCCTTAGGTCCTCCCGGTGGTCCCTTTTATATCGCGGGTCAGTTGATCTCCAAGTAGGACTCGGAGATATCAGACCCCTCATGATACAGTGACGACGCAGTCTTGTCCGAGTAGGACTTCTCTCATGTGTAGATTCTGTTTCTATTACGTGATTGATTTCCTTAACATGTACAGGAAACATCCGTATGCGCGTAGGTATACCGTATCGGTATACAATATATATCCAAGGGTAGAGAGTATACCTTATCCGTAACCTTGACAATTACTTGATAAAAACATGTTCCCAAGATACGTGAACTCAATGACGTCATCTTCTTTTTGAGGGGATGTGCAACTAGAACGCAATATTACATGCAACTCCAATCATTCATCCGTGTGTTCCCGAGCGTCCGTCTATTGACCGCATGTTTATGTGTTTCCATTAATTGGATATATATAAATATCCAATTAAAAAACCCTCGTCGGAACAGAAAAGCATCATATCATACCGGTAGCAATCTTGCTATATACTTGTCGACAAATTTTCTCTCAAAAATTTGACAGATGTAATTACAGGACAATCATAGTGTAATTACACTGTAACTTACATATAATTACACTGTAACTACAATGTAACTTTTAAAAATCTCTCTGTAACATGTTATTTCGGTAAAATGGAGGTCGTGGAAATAAATCCTTTTACATATATGTGTGTTGTGATATTTTTTTTCTTCCTCACTAGAACAAATCTTGTAATAAATCTAACGATTCAAAATTACGTAATCTTACATACAAGTTACACTGTAGTTACATACAAGTTACAGTATAATTATACTACGATTGTACTATAATTGCATCTATCAAATTTTTAGGAGAAAATTTATCGACAAATTTATAGGTGGTCCCTACTGGTAGATTTGTTTTTTTAACCGAAGATCGATCAGAGCTAATCATGATGCGGGTAATTAGGCTAATTAGTTATGAAATAGTTAGTGAGATTAATCCCTTCTCGCGAACGTTCGTGGCTGTTTCCCGTGTAGGGTAGTACGCCTACTATACCTAGAGATCCTAGTACTAGTACTCCAGTACAATCCTTTCTACTCCTACTCCGTAAATAGTACTACTACTAGGTTGTGGATTCCTCTTGATTGATACAGATCTGGGAATTGAACCCAATACCCCTACTCGGCGGTGACTAGTACACCTTATCTCTTCGAAACCCTAGCTAAGAGCCGTCGCTTTATCTCTTTTCTCTTCTTCTTCTTCCCTTGTACTCCTCCGATCCCCAATCTCATCTATCACCACCTGACCTGATCTTTCCCTGCAGATCTCATTGAGAAAGAGAAGAGAAGAGATATTCTTTTTTCCAAAGAAGAAAATCTTGGCCGCGCGCGCGAGATCTTTGCGCAAAAGATGATATATGATGCCTGATCGATCTTCTCGTTTCGGATCTTATTATTGCTCGGCTAATTAGTATTATTAACGCTGCTAGCCAGGGCCTTTGATCCGCGTGGTCGTGGTCGTCGGTGAGGCAGCCGGGCAGGCCGACTCCCATGCATGGAAGCTCGCTTCAGGGTCAAGTCAACTGATTATGTTTTTCATTAATTTGTTGGTAATTAATTTTTTTATATGTACGTACATATATATATAGCTCGGATGGTTTGGTATTTCTTTCTCAGATCTATATATATTGCAAGGGGATCGGAGTGTCGTTAGTTACACGGTATTTATTATAGAGTTTTTGGGATAGAGAGAGATTTCTGACTATTAGCTAGACTAGACTGAAGGCTTTTGTTTCTTTTCTTCTTTGATTTGATCTGATCTGTTCAATGGAGAACATTTTTATGGAAGCCGAGGGCAGGGGATAGCTAGCCGGAGGTGCTCCTAGTCCGTGATATGGAAGGGGCTATATATTCAACTGCAACGCTATTGGTCCTCCAATCCATTTTATCTCGGTACTGTTTCAGATTATATATGTTTTTATGTTTTTTACTGCTGGGCTGATGCTGAGAGATACACCACCATTTTTTTTCTGAGCCAGGCCCCTGAAACTCAAGTTGTTTTGATACAATTACAATTAATAATCAACAACTGGGTGGTTGTGGTGAAAACTCTCAGCATTGCAAGACCAATGCCCCTCAGCCTGGACAGCACAAAGGCACATTACACCATGATGATGGCGCCCACTAAATAAATTTGTTACCACCTACCATTTTTCATCGTTGTGTGTTTGGATTACTGAGCGTGAACAAAGGGGTCCTATATATCTGTTGGACTGAGCAGGGAAAGATAGATAGTACTTGAGGGGGATGGTGCTCTATCTTTGTTGGATTGTACTGTCTTACTGATTAGCGATTTCTATTCATGTGTCGGTTAGCTCAATAGCTGTTAAACTTTATATTTGATAACTATTTTATATATATTTTGGGCTGATAATACTAGGACTTCTTTGGGAGGAGGGCTTAGCTATTCCTCAAGTTTAGAGTTAGTTTTGTTAAGATCACAGTAGTTGGATTTTCTTGACGATGGCTCATTGACTACTGTATTTTATTACAACTAGCTTTCTCATGTAACTTGAGTTGGATCATTGATGATATTCTGTTTGTTTGATTTTTGACAATGACAATTACTTCTGTTACAAAATCTTTTTTGTATTTGATTTTTGAGATTCACATTTTACTTTTTGCAATTTAATATTTGATTTGCGTTTTATCTGTGAGATACTTGGATTTTAATATTTGATTTTTAAGATAGATTTCTAGGTAGGTAGGTAGATAAATAGGTATTGAGAGAGATGGAGGAAGAGCGAGAGGGAGGGCGAAGGAGAGGGATTGTTTTGATCATCACCATGTATGTTGTTGTGTGTGAGTTTTATACTGAGTGTAGCGAAGAAACTGACCCTAGGTTAACTTTTGGTCGTTAGTCTTCTTCTGCGTCTACATTTGCTTGTAGCAGTATAATAGAGTCTGCTGCTTCATGGGTTTTGATGTCACTTTTGCTTGCCAAATTCTTTCTACTCATGTTTAGAGTTAGGGTAGAGCAATGACAGCTCTGCTAGTGCAAACAACAATGTGGCCAGTACTGTATCTGTATACAGTACAAGTTTTGCCTAGTAGCTAGTGTGGCTCCTTCTGACTGCATCTAATTTGATTTCTTTCCCCATTTGTAATTTTAACTCTATACTCTGACGGTGCAATATGGCGTCAATTGAAACAATTTTTACTAGTTTTTGGATTGAGCCTGTGACCTGTTTGGATGTTTTCTTTATTTTGAACTGTTTTGCAGATATGGGACACTTCAATCTTTGTGGCTGATTTCTTGTTTCTCAAGATTGTACATCCATGAGACAATTGAATCCCTAGACTAGCACAGGCCATTTCCAGTGTATAGTAGAGCAGTGATAAAAATGCAAGACATGCAGAAATGGAATAACAAAAATTCAAAAAAAAATCAGAAGGCTCTCATAGTGTGGCATGAAACTTTAAAAAATTCTGTACTGTTGATAATTACTGCCACAAATATTCAGAATTTGATCTGTTTTATCGACAGCTGGTGCTGATTGATATTTTGAATTTATTTCCTATAGAAAACAAATGTTATTAGTCATATCTTCAAAGGTATATTTCATACTCTTTAAGTTGCAAACTTGCAATGCTTTTCAATGTTGCCCTATATGTATCATCGTGCCAATTAACTCTAAATGAATTTACAGTTAGGTTAGGATTTCTGTCTGTTGTAACAATATTCCTGATACATACTTTTGTAACACATGGCTAACTATCTAACTAATAATCATACTCATGTCAATTCGTCCTTCATTATTGCTTGCAACATTTGATCTTAATTGGCTCAACCAGGAGTTGGTTCTCTAATTTGCTCTACCGAATTTTGTTAGAATGGCACCAATAATCAGATATGTTTAGGCTATTGATATATCTGCATTTTTCTTCATTGAGAATGGTAAGTTTTTTTGTGCAAATATTAGCTTCTGATTTATTAGTTTTGTTAGAATTGCCGTGTTTTGATTGCAGCCTTTGGTGTTGTACTTCATGGTTAACTAACCATGCCTGCCTTATTACAGAGAAGGTAAGGATTCAACCAGGGAACGAGGGAGGTGGGAGGCCAGGTACAATGGGCTATTAGGGAGGATAGTGCAAAGGATCATCACGTGAGCAAGCTAAAGAGTGATGCATTTTGATTTTTTTTCCTTTTGTATTTGTTTCTGTCTAATCATCATTTTATTTTTGTTTCTCTGTAGGTGACTGAACAAAAAAAACTTGCTGAAGCATTTTCTAACTGTGGGCAAGCAAGATATGTACTCTTTTCTATCTGTGGACAAGTAGTCCTGTCTGAATAGTTTTGGTAGCATTAAACTAGCATATAACATAAGTATCATATAAGTTTTTTCACCAAAACCAAGAAAGCCTTAACTTTCATGCATTTATTTAAAGTGAGTTTGTGGTCGGGAAAAATCAACAAACATGAAGACTTTTAACTCCCCCCATACACAAGAAATGAGAGCTTTACTATCCCAAAGTCTGCATGCATGCATGCATGCAAACTCAATTTGCATGCATAAATGCAATGATACTACATGTCAAACGAAGGGGGTCAGGCCCCATATAAATACTATGATCAATTTGGATTTTTTGATTTTTAGTTATATGATGATCAATATGGAATGAAGGGAGTATTAGAGTTGATTTTGTTACACTATAGCAACTGGATTTCAGAAGGAGGGCTTAGTGATTCCTGTAGTTTAGAGCTATTTGTTTATCTAAATATATAGAGTTAAAGACCGCGCATGATGATTTACTGGAGATTAGTTACACTAATAAAATTTTAAGTTCACATTTTCGTTTCCTCTTTCTTGTTTGTTCCCTTGGTGCTGTTCAATGCTTACTCTTGCATGCGGCTAGCCTTGGTCCTGCCGCCTGAGTGATATCGTGCTATATGGAATAAGCATGACACCCCGCCACTTATTCAGATCATCTGATGCGAGGACCATCTCTGTATAATCTAAATTAATTGATAATTTTTATTTTCAATAGACTATTTGTCTCAGTTATGATGGTGCAAACACATAATTTGTTTGTATAACTATATGAAAGCATTTTGGATTATGTTCAAAATTTGCTGTAGTTGTGATTAAATGGAAATGCCTGCTTGAGCATGGATATTGACTACTGCGAATACACAGTTTGCGTGAAGCTTTATTCACTTGAGTTAAGTTGGTTTTTATTCCTATGGTTCTTGCTGTCTAATCTGAGAGTTTCTTTTTTGTCTTTAAACTGCATGTCTGCCACACGTTTGAGATAACAATCTTTTCTTAAATTTGCTTTCCAAGGCACACGGATTGTCCTAAAATGTTGTGGAATTGGGAAGCATAAATTATCCCAGCCAGCAGAATGTTCTGCATGTTGATATTAATTTAATTTCTTGATTAGGATTGGGGGTGGTAAATTTGCAGATCTGTTTTGCATAGCTGATACATTTTTGTGTCCCCTGTACTTTTTTTCATAACGAATCGTTTCTTCCACTTAAGAATCATTTTTGTATGCCTCCCAGCTTCAAGGGTATAGGAAGGTTTGCAAGATCAACAGTTGGAAACCTAGGCTTTTCATACAGCACTTTCCTTCAACTAGGATTTTAGTGATATCTAATTTCAGGGTTGTCAAGTATATATACTCATTAATTGTTGTAGAGTAGGGCCATGACTAATTTTGCAATTGAGATTTATAGCTAAACTTGGACAAAGAGTTGGCTCACGCACTATTTGTTTTTTGTTTATTTCTAGAGATGTAAGGGGGCAAATCCAACGACTGAGGAACAGGGTGAATGGAGAGCAGCCTTCTCATTATGTATCAGCATGTGATGCAAAGATATATAGTCTTGTTGTAAAGATCAAGATAATCAGATTATTAATTGGACCGTAGACAGTAGCATCAAGAACTTCCTCTTATCTAAAGCTCTAGTTAGGCCTTGTAACTAATTTGCTTGCACTAAAAACTTTTATGGGCATTCAGAGCTTGTTTGGTTGCTGCCCTGGCCTGGGGGCTGTCGCTCAGGCATGTCGATCCAGCCGTAGGCGTACAAAATCGGACGCCTGAGAGTTGCGCCTGAGTCAGGCGAGTTTTCCAGGACACGAAGCAAACAGGCTCTCAGTGACAAGGAAGCTGAAATCAGATGGCAATTAATGTGGATATGATACTTGCGCACAATCTTAACGAAGGTATGTTTAATGCTTTTTTTTAGCTTTGGGTACATCTTGATTGCATTTTGGATGTTTTTTTATTGAGTAAATTGCAGATTGGTCCTGTTTTTATTACCAAAGTGTCACTTTGGGCCACCTCCAATTCAATCTTTTCACTTAAAGCCAGCTATTATTACCAATTCTTTGCAATTTGGGCTAGTGGCCCACCTGTCAGTAGGCGGTGGAGGAGGAAGAGGAGCACGGCACGGCGATGGCGCCCGTGCCCCTAGATTGGCAAAGCAGCGGCGACGATGGCTCCAGCTCCGTGCAGCGGCGCCATCACCACCATGGGCGGCCTGAGCACCGACGCCCTATCCCTCTCCTTCTCTACTGTTGCTCGACCTAGAGAAGAAGAAACAGAAAGAGAGAAGGAAGAAGGAAGAAAGAGAAACAGAAAAGAGGACAGCAGCAGAGGAGTTCGCAAGACTTCTGACAGGTGGGCCACTAGCCCAAATTGCAAAGGATTGGTAACAATAGCTGGCTTTAAGTGAAAAGATTGAATTGGAGGTAGCCCAAAGTGGCACTTTGGTAATAAAAGCTGGACCAATCTGCAATTTACTCTTTTTTATTCTATTAGTGGGTTCAAGGGAATAATATAAGGCAAATTACTTCCTTTTCAAAATCTAGGATACCGTTGACTTTTCGTACTAACATTTGACGTTCGTCTTATTCAAAAATTTAATATAAATATGTAATTGTATAAGCTAAGATTATATTGTAGAAATTTAATATAATTAAATGATATAAGGCAAATGGTCAAACATTATGCTAAAAATCAATGACGTCATACATTTTGAAATGGAGGGAGTACTTGATTTTTGTTCTTGTGAGATGAGGTTGCAAGTCTCCTCTGTAATGATGTATAAACTTGCCTGGCCAAAAATAATAATAATAATAATAATCTGGCCCAACTGTTGTTAGGTTTATTTTGTGACAGAAAATTTCGTGGTAGTAAAAATTCCAGAAAGTAATAGTAGTATATATAGTAGTAAATAATAACAAAGAAGGATTTTTTTTGTCCATGTGGAGCATACTGGGCCCATGGATCTATTTAGTTGGGGATGTGGGCCGAATAAGCTGTTTCGTGGGCCTGCGGATCTGCTAACGAGCTGCTAGGTCTCCATTGGTACCCTGTGCTTGCCTCCTCCATACCCTCGCCTCGAGCTCGAGAAGGGGGGGCGGCGGCTGCTGCTCGCGCTCGGCTACTCCGGCCAAGGACGTCTCCCTCAGCCGGCCCCGACGCCTGCCCTCTTGCCCCAACTTCCCCGCGTTAAGGTAAATTGCATTCCCTCGTCACTTCACTTGGATCATTTCCGTGTTCGCGGTGGCTCTAAGGCCCGCTTTTTTTTTATCATCTCAGATCAAGAACCGAGGGTTTCTCACTGCAAAGGCTTTGGTTTTTTCCTGAGAGGAGATGTCTGGGAAGAGAGCTTTCTGCACGGCAGTGGAGTCTGGCAGAAAAACTCCAGAGTTTTGCTATCTTCTGTATGTTCAGCTATCTCAGAACCTTTGATTTAATTCATATTTTGTAGGATTAGACCTGGTCTATCTCCTGTCCTTGAATTGTTTTTAAAGATTATTACAAGTATGGATTGAGAATGAGGAAAAATAAAAAGAACTACATGATTTCTTTATGATGATGTACCTAAGCCTGCTAATGGACTGGGTTTAAGTGGATATAGTGGGTTGGATTTCAGTGTGGGTTAGCTTTGGGCGGGTGGAAATGGGTTGCTGCACCTGATGGATTGGACTGGTTTGGATGGAGATGGGAAATGGTTTAGATTGGTATAGTTTTGGCTGCAAAAGTTTGGTCCCAGATTGGATTCAACCCATGGGTATCCACTGGATTGGCCCCAATCCCATCGTCTCCCTGAGAAGTCGACAACCACATCGCCGCCATCGCTAGCTCAACTTCGTCGCAGGTGGCTTGCTACCTTCCTCTCCCTCCTCCGGCAAACCTTCTCCCTTCACAAAGTCCCCAAAAAATCAACCATGGCTCCGGATCTTCTGGCTGCCCGCAGCAACAACGGCGGCATCGAAGGCCGTGGCCGTGGCCGCCATCATGGGGGAGAAGGGCGGGGCAACGTGGGGCTTGTGGCGGACAATGGCGGTGCGGTGGTGCGGACTTGGGGGAGAAGTCCTACGGCGGTGCAGCCGTGGTGGTCGCGGCTGTAGTGCTCACGAGCCTCGCGACGGTGAGTCGGTGAACGCGCTCGCGGTGGTCGCGGCATCCCAGCGCTGGTGAGGCTCCTTCGCTGCGGCGGCGACGACGATGTGGCGCACGGGAGCGCCAGATGCTCCCACGACCCTGTACGAGCTCTGCAAGCTGCTCATCCTCCATTGATGCCCTCTGCAAGCTGCTCATCCTCCCGGAGCTGACCGAAGGAGGGAGGAGGAAGAAGATGACGATGCCTGTTGGTGTTCAGAGTAATATTGTGGATTTCCTTTGGGTTGGAAATGGGTTGAGAATGGGTTGAATCCATTTGTCTGCACTTGGTTTGGATTGGTTTGGGCTTGCTCTGTGAGTGGATTGGATTGGTTTGGTTTCTGCAAACTATGAATTGAATTGGATTGGTTTAGAAGTGTACTATAGAGACAAGTGAACTGGGGCGGTTTTGGTCTGGATCTCAGTCCATTAGCAGGCTTAGATGTACCGAATCTAGTTCATTCCTCTTTTTAAATTGCTATCCGGCAGAAAATTTCTCAATCTGTATGTTTAGCTATCTCAGAACTCTGGGTTCAGCCCATATTCGATAAGATTAAACCTGGTCTATCTCCTGTTCTTGAATTATGTAAAGATTATTACAACTATGGATTGATGAGAATGAGTAAAAGAAGATCTTGATTTTTCTTCTTGTGATATGAGTCTGTCAAGTCTCTGATTCCTGTGATGTATAAAATCTATTTGTTTTCTGTTGTTGTGAATTCTCTTGTTCCTCTTTGTAGTGATTTCTTTGCCTACCCACGTTCTGTTTTTTGCCACATCTCTTAGGGGTGTTCTGTTTTTTTTGCCACATCTCTTAGGGGCATTGGAAAAGTAAAATCCCTAGCTGTAGCTAATTCTAGTCCATTTAATTAATTGCAGTGGTTTCAGCGGTGTTGTTGCGCTCCCAGGCGATAGGTTTCAACCTTTGGATGATTTTTTGTCTGAGAATCCTTTTCTGTCACCTATTCCATTAGGAAGGCTCTATGAAAACATTGATCCAGCAAAGCCTTATATGCTAGAGGACCCTATTCGTCGGGCAGTATGGTCTGGATCCCTTGCACCTTATATAGCCAACAAAGTGAAAATGTCCCTGAGCCACATCCTCACTAAGGAAAATGTGGGGGTGCATAAGGATTTTGGCTTGGTGGTGTTCAAAGATGTGCCAAAAAAGAGAGAGGGCATATCTGATTCGAGCGAAAACTACCAACACTACAGCAGTTTCTTGACAGAGACCATACAAAGGCTTCATGGGTCTGAGTCCCTCAATGCCCTTCCAGTGGAAATGGATATATACCTTAAAGATTTGACAGATCCGAATGTTAAGGAGGATGATATTGTGGACCATCCCATAGCACTACCAGGAAGGGTATTTGGGGATGTTTCTGTTGAAGCCTATCGACTACTGTGCAAGCAATATCCTGTAGTAAAGAATGGGAAGGAAATTTCAGCGGATCGCATTATTGAGGCTGTTGGTGCAAAATTCAAGGATGCACTGACTGTGTCTCTTGACAGTGGACTATTGCCAAAATTCTTACCTCTGAAATGGCAGAAGTTATACCCAGCTAACAAATATCCATGGATACCTAAGCCCCAATTGATTATCTCACAAGAAGAGGCTGGAAAAATAGTTATTGAGATTCACCGGCATGGATCTGTCCATTCGGTCGAAGTAGGTGTTGATACTATTGTGACTTCCAATTTCCCTGGCTTTTCTGGTGATAAGTTCACGCGCATGGAGGTACTCGCGCTCATTCGTCACATTTTCCCAGAATATCTCAACACGATATTTAAGGAATTCAAGATGGACAATCTATATGAAGATCTGCAAATTAGGGAAAGAAATCCTATTCCCAGCCTGTACAGTGCTCAGGGCGATGGTGTTTACGCTGAAGTGATTGTCAAGTTCATTGGGTTTTGAAGCTTCGGTAAAATTCTTTATTCCATAGTTTGCTCCACTGTTATGCCAATGACTATATTCCGTCGTTCAGGAACTAACATTTCATTTTCTTCAGGCATGCGGGAGATGTAATGTTTGGATGTCAGCAAGCGCTGCAAGTTCTGATAGCTAAAGAGGTGATTCTGGGTTTTTGGATGGCGTTGTTCCTGTCAAGTACTTAGAGAAGATTGAAACGTGGCCAGGGAGAGAACCGATACCATTTCAAAACTAGAGACCACGGTGTGTAATTTTGGTTATGCATGGCTACTTTTTCAGATGATGGGTGTAATTTTGCAAACAAGTTTCTGTTATGCAAAAACAGAAACTTGTTCAGTTTCAACGTCAGTTTCTTCTCAGTTTCTTCTTTCAGGTTCAACGTCAGGCTGTTCATATTTTCACTCTTCTGTGTGATTTCTAGCTCCAGTAGCTGCATTTTCTGTTCAGAATTCTTCAGTTCCAACTGTGTTTTAGAGAGCTGTAGCTCCAAATCAGATATTTTTGCCAAAGATTGCTGTTGTTGCAGAAGTACTGCATCCTTCTCAGAGTTTAAATCTAAGATTGTGCTTTTTAACTCTCTTGATGTGTTTTCCAGGTCTAACTTTGCATTTTCCAACTCTTCCAGTCCCTTTGTTGATCTGTCAAGATTTTCTGTCAGCTTTATCACTTCCTCTTCCAACTGAGAATGAAGATTCTTAAACCTGTGAAGATCTGCTTCAGTTTGTGTGTGCCTATTGCATTCATCTTGCAGCTGGGCATGGGCATTATCTGCTTCCTGTCTCTTCTGTTCAAGATCTTGCATCAGCATCTGAACCTTCTGTTCAATTTCTTCCAGCTCAGGCTGTAGCTTCAGGAGTTGAGATTCCAGATCAGAAACTCTTTCAACGGACTGCTGGTGTTGAAATAGGGCTGCATCCTTCTCGGTGTTTAACTGTGAAATGGTGCTCCTTAGGCTTTGGATTTCATTTTGAAGTTCGTTCCTTGAATCCGTCAGAGAATTAATTTCATCACGAAGTTCTTGTATAAGCAGCTCAGAGGAGCGGTTTTGTTCAGTAAGGCTCTCAACTTCTTTCTTCAGCTCAGAAACAGCATTCTCAAGATTTACTTTGGTCTGCTTGAGCTCATTCAACTTTTCATTTGCCATCTGGATTTCCATAGTCAGCCTTTGTACTTCTTGACATTGAGCAAGCTCTTTCCCCTCTGAAAGCAGAGCACTTTCAGCCTGCAGGCGCTTATCCTGTTCTTCTTGGAAGGTTAAGTTGAAGCTTTTCAGTTCCTTCTGCTTTTGTTCAAGTTCTTCTTGCTGCATCTTCACCTTTTGATCCAAAGCCTCAAGCTCAGACTGTATTTCACTATTGCGTGCTTCAGCGCTACTCAGCTTCTGAACTTCTGTAGCCATTTCATCAGTTAGCTTCTTGAGGTCATCCTGGGCCTTAGAGAGCTCAGACTCCAGAGTAGATAACCGCTCAGTGGACTGATTATATTGCAGCAGAGACGTGTCTTTGTCAGAATTCAATTTCAAGACGGTATCCTTTAGAACCTGGATTTCATTTTCAGCTTTGTTTGCCCTCTCAGATTCTGATAATATCTGTTGTTTCATGCTGTTGCTCTCGGCTAATAATCTTGAAATCTCTTGTTGCAAATTTACCATCTCATTGCTGATGGCATCACAGCCTTTAACTTCTGGGCTTCCAAAGCTTAGGCCTTTACGCACTTTCACATCAAAACCTTTTCGATTTGGCAGTGCACTGGCTTCCTCAGGGTGTGTACCATTCCTCTTGGAGGTGAATTGCTGTGGTGACACACCTACTCCATCCTTCTGCAGGTCATCCAAATCAAAAGGGAGACGGGTGAAAGTGGGCAGGTCTGGAGTATGTGGTTCCACTTCTTGGCCCGAAGAAGAAGGTGACTCATCAGACATTGGTGGCATCTGATTGGGAAATGCTTCAGAAATCGATTTATGGGCCTGTCGAAGTGCACCGGTGGCCTGATCATACCTTTCTGCCAATGCACGGTAAGCTCGGTAGAACTCCTCCACCAGTTTCATTAGCTCTGGGCGTTTCTTGTAGTACATCTCTGCTCTCCGTGCAAAAGAATCAGCATCTTCATTGAGAAGTTTGATCATAGCTTTCACCTTTGAGTCCATATCTGTTGCATAATTCAAGTGCTGAGGAAGTGAGGTCTTAATTATTGTTTGGAGTTGGTCCGTGTTGCTTTCGTGGCACCAATGGCGGCCTTGGTTGGTCATGACGCGAGGCAGTATTCGTGGTGGTGGGTTAGTCATATCAGCCCCAAGAACTCCAAATGGCTCCAAGAAAATCTCAATGGTGGGGTCTTTTTCTGTGTTTAGCTCATATTCTCATGTTTATTCATTGCTTTGAGGTTTGAGCATATATCATGAAATTGCCATTAGTGTTGCACTAGATATTTACTGGCCAAAGAAGCAGCGATATGCTTTTTTTTGATTGTTTCAATGTAGCAGTATATTTTCAAGGCACATGGTGTGCATGCAAGCCAGTTATTCATACATGGAATTTTTTATCCCCCCCCCCTCCTGATTTACTGCCTTGATGGCAATTTTTGCTGAAATTTTGGCTAGCTGGTTTGAACAGTCTCTTTTATCTAATTCGAGTATGCATGGCTACTTTTTCAGATGATGGGTGTAATTTTGCAAACAAGTTTCTGTTATGCCCGTTTGATAGATGGAGCTAGAATTAGACATTGACGCTGTTCTTACCATGTTGATTGTCAATGAATCCTCCAGCTTATCCGATTCCGTCTGCGGTTACTATTTATATCTTTGTAGTAATGACCCGAAGCTGCATAACACGTGCGGTAGTTTATGGGCAAATATCATAAGCATACAAAGTTTTATTATAAGATGATGCGGGTACAGTCTTAAGCGGTAACATTCAACATTCAACTTGGTTAAGAATGGGAATTATTTTGGGCTTGCTTTCCATCACCGAGGGCACGCAACCTGCGAATGAGTTCGGAAAACTCTACAAATCACGCAAGAGGATATTAGTATTATCGATAATGTTTATAGAAATAGTAGGAACCTTCACAAATGAGTTAGAGATCTACTGCAGAATCGTTCGCTTAATTAGGCATGTCTCAAGCCGCCATGCATCGTCCACTTCCTGTCACATTATTTACTTACCATCAGATACCGTGGACAGAAAAATAGTACAGCTGCTAAGATGTCTATTAGCGATAGCTATTAGTAGGCTTACCTTAAATATAGCAGCATTGGTAGGATTTCTAATAGATGTTGCATGTGTGAATTCGGCAAAAGCTTTCTATGTGAAGGTAGTTCAAAGTCCGACCGCTTAATCGTAGCTGCTAACTACTACTAAAAACTGTCCACATGGTAAGCACTTGAATATGCATCTCCCATCTGTTGAATATATCAGAACCTGCAATAATCATGTTCTTAGGCTCCCATTGGATGGCCTAATTAGCTAAAGAAAAAGCCAAATTAAAAATTTTCAAACTTAATTTTGAGATATTTTCACTATAGTTTCTTTTTCAATATTGGCTTTTAAATCACCAAGAACATATATATATATAAAAGTTTTACCTACAAATTTATTTGTATTTCCTAATAAACTGTTTTGGCTTATTAGGGAAAAAGCCAAACGATGGGGCCCTTAAGATTATCAGTTTACATCGTATAACTGCTAACAACAACATAAGAGTAGAATAAGATATTAGTTTCCGTTTGGGTGAACCCTATATTTTATCTAAAACAAAAAAAAACAATATAGCTCATTGGGGTGAACCCTTAAGAGCAGAATAAGAAATTAGGTCAGCTGCAGTGAGAAAGAACTCAACGAGTTCTTGAACAGAATATTGGTTAAGAGATAACCCGGTATGTTTTTTGGGGGTCATGATCCAATATACCAACTGATTGGTCCTTAAAGTCCAGATGATAACCAAATTCGTCAATGTAATCGAATATGAACCAAGAAGCTTGAGTAAACCTGAATAGGAAAAAAAAATGTTAGTCCCATTCGAAAAAAAAAAGTAGTGTGGTTTTTCATACATGCAAGACAAAGTAATTGACATTTTTGGTTTGGATAATGGCTGCGGGAAACGGGAGGGTTTGCTGGGGTTTTGGACACGGGGGAGAAAACGTTTTAAGAATGGAGAGACGTATTCTATGAGAAACCGCCTTCTTAGTCAGGAAGCGGATTTACACTCAGTAAAAGCAATATAAAAACGACATCTCACATTCTCACCACGTCGTCCTGTATCCATGTCGATGTTTGACCTCCAAGCACAGAAATGTTGGAGGAATTGTCACCCCTTTCCATTCAATTTATACAGTGGTTTCGGTGAACTACCTGGTCGGATTTATTTTCTAAAGAATACCCACGTCTCAAAATAATAATCCATGTGTATGCAAAACAATCTCAGGAAGTTACAGCGTAATACCATTATACCACTATATTATCTTGCCGCACATAAATGCGGTAATTCCGAGTCAACAGTTAACTGCTGGTTCAGCACAAATAAAAACCAAACCAAAGAAGAACAGCGAAAAATAATATCTGCAATTAAATGAGTCCAAAAAGGAAGGAAAAAAAATTAAATGATCTTCCCACATCAAAATGCAACGGGCCGCTACTATTTATGTACATTCCCGCATTTCTTCCGATGATGCCACTGCAGCTAGTGTTACTGATCAGCAGCTCTACATGTTTTTACTAATTAACAAGAAACCGTATTGATCTTTGCAGGGAGGCATCCCAGTCTTCTACCAGCCGGAGCCCCGATGAGCTTGAAGAGTCTCCACGGATTTGCCGGAGTTGAGTAGTAGATGTCGACGGGGCCATTGGTGCAGTTGATGCTTGAGTCGACGACCCTGGTGTGACGGCGACCACGGTGGCGGTCAAGGTAGACGACGATGATGCTGATGTCGTCGTGGAAACGGCGCCTCACTTCTCTATCGTCTTCAGATGGAAGTTGACCTCCCTCTTCCTCGTGGCTTCCTTCAAAGCGGCCTTTACCACTCTGTTTGCTACATCCTACATGAATATTCAGAGGAACTTGGTGTTATCTCATTGTGTGATTCCTCGTTCATTCATGGGGAATAAACTCCCGATGATGGCATGATCGAATGCTGTAGATGTTGTCTGAACTTACCGTTCTTGGATTCTTGAAGACAATCTGCACCGCAGCGTCATCGCTAAGATGCTCCTAGGGACCATCTGAAGCAAATATCAGGAACATATCATTTGGTTTCAGCTTGCGAACTTGAATTGATGGTTCTGCACTAAGAGCTAGCTGCTTTAGAGGAATAGGGGGACCAATGCTACGAAACACGGGATCCATGCTATACTCTTGTTCCTTCAAGTAAACATCACCAATGGTTCTCGATACCTGACAGTAGAAGAGTAAAATTTTAGCCCATGTCTCTAGTATTTGACATAAAAATCTTATGGTATCTTAAGATAATTAGGTAAGTGAACCGAGAGATAAAGCCTGATCAAAATATCAAACCATGTCCAAGTGACCAAGTTCATTACTCTGGTAAGATATAATAAAAGTAGCTGTCATACTTTCACACTTGGCACTATAAATTGTGAAAAGTAAACTATGAAAACAATATAACTCATCGTTTTTCATTAGTTTTCCTGGATAAGCAAGAGTAGCTGTCATACTATGCACAGTTGGCAGTACAAACTGTGAAAACAAAAATACTAAAACTTGGTCATTTTTGCTCGTTTTAAAACAATGACAAATAGTAGTCACAAGCTCACAGCATCTTCTTAAAGCACTGCCTGCTGAACTGGTCCAAGTCCTGGAAACGTGTAAAACGACTTTTAAGTTGTGAAATCTTCAAAGCAAGAACTTTAAGACTAACAATTACTCAATTAGTCTAACACATATGATGAACTGCACCAATCAAGCTATGCAACAAAGGTTGAGTAATTGACAGAAAGGGGCAATTTATTTTAACTCCTTGGACAGTAAGTTCAGGATTTCTGAATTCAATCCTTATGAAGCTCTGATACATCATATGAGAAGTTGCAAAATGCACGAATTCACTCTACCACACAAAGCTGTGGATAAGTTATATCCAGAAGCAACAATTTTTACCACCAAATCCTGGCATACATGCATCAAATTAATTAAGTAAAGAGAAGTATTTTCTCATCGAACTCTCACCTGAATGATCCCCTTCACCCTCCACGCAACCCTGGTGTGCACCAGGATCTGGCCATCCAATCCTGTGGGCTGTGTTGGAGTCACCTCCCGCATCGAGTTCTTCCGCGGCTCTTCTTCACCGAAGAAGAGGAGGGGAGGGGGACACAGGCACCGACTGCAACCACAACACCGTCGTGAGGGGACACTGGCGCCGGTTCCGAAGCCGCCACCGGCCCAGACGTAGCCAGGGGAGGGGAACACCTACGCCGGTCACGTAGGCTTGGCCGCAGGCCCCTTTGCGTTGGCTCCGATGGGCGGCGGTCGTGCAGCCGGCTCCGCTCTTGCGTGCAATGCCCTCTGCTTCCACCCAGCCAACGCCAGCCGGGTCAGCGTAGACCGACCGTCCGGCCGGCACCAGATCCAGCTTTCACCCTCTCCTCTACGTGGATGCGAAGGAGACCACAACGCGTCCGGATAAAGGTAGACGAAGCCGAAGCTGAAGAGGAATCCAAAGAATCCCAAGCCAACAGACTGCGACGCATTTGCCGTCCCCGACCTTATCGACGTTCGGGTTCGAGGAGTCGCCTTGCCACCCAGCATTCGTGGTGTCGCCTCAGCCTTGTCGTTGCCGTTTGTCCCTCCCCTCCCCAGCCACCTTGTCGATCGTCCCTCCCCCGGCTGCAACCTCCGTCCCTCTTGAAGCAGTACTGAACATCATGAAAGGAGGAATTTATTTTTGCAATGCAAATGTAGCTAACGGTTTGGTTTATGGTTGATTTGTAGTCTCTGAAAATCAGTGTATCGTGTGGTATCAAGCAACTGCAGCAGTGTCTGTCATGTTCTAAGAGACTTAGACTGTGCAAATGGACCTAACAATGCCATATATAGTTAATAAAAATAAATCATGAGTTTGCTTGTCATACAGAGTACAATGGTTCTAGCATGGAAATGTTTGGATTTGTTTCTGTAATGATTTTTTACCTTATTTGCTTCATATAATGTCCTGTATAGAAATGGATTTATTGGATAAAGTATTGGATGCCATAAAAATGCCAATGTCATGCAATTTCGATTTTGTATATAACTAGCAAAATGCCTCAAATATCATTAGTGGGTATGATGGCACTGATTGCATTGATAGTCTCCTGATTATTTCTTTTTTCATCACTTAGCTGTCCATGTTCAGTGATTTTTTCTTCAGTACTCATCACATACTATATCAGTTAGTATTTGTTCTCTCTTGTCATTTTCTTCCAGGTGCAATATTAAGTTCTGAACATAGTATTGTCTACAATCAGATTTGGGGATCAGACTGCACGTAGGCTTCCTGACTGATACACTCAATTAAGGGAAATTAACAATCACTAGAGTTCAGTTTCAAGTTAATCGGAAGT